TTGCGTTACGTTCTCTAGAGTTGAACTGCCACGGTTTTGTCAGTCTATGGGCGATAAGGGAGTTTGTGTGTCCATGGCCACATCTGGACAGGTGTGTCTCCCTCTCACCGCCCAACAGCTGGAGACTCGCCCATCTCCTGTGGACACCCTTCTCGGCTGTGGCTCTGCCTGGTCTTTTGGATCCACGGGGTTTACCAGAAGGAGAGACGGGGGGAATGAAATTTGCGGATTAAAAATAGAAGCCACATTTTCCATTTGGCAAGTCGCAAACAACACTAAGTGCACATCATAAATTTTACCATTGTTGCTGGAACTGATGCTACCGTAAATCACATTAGTTGAAAACGCCTCCTGCAAAATGGGATTTGGGCAGATGCGGCAGCCAATAAGTTTAATCAGCGCAGCCGGTTTTCTGTTTGAATGGAGTGTGTTCTGTCCCCTTTCCCGATTCCTGTGAGAGAGGTAGCAGTGGTGGTTGATGGCGATGATGGAGTATTTATTTATTAATTCCTTTAATACATTTATATGCCTCCTTTCTGAGTGGCACTCTTTCACATGTCAATTTCTTTGAGTATACAACAGCAATAATAATAATAATAAAGTCTCCCCGCACCCCATGCCAGGAAGCTCAAAACATATCGGTCATTTTGTATATTGGTTTAACAAGATGTGTGGATGATTTAATCACACACATATGGAGGCATTAAAATTCCCACTAAAGTGATTGTTCTGTCAAGCCAGGAATTTCCATTTGCCAAACGGAATGAGGCCCCTTTCTGCCCCCTCCCCACTGTTTTGGGGGGGTTTCTCCTGACCCCCTCGAGGCAATTCTGGGGAGGGGGGATGCAGTGGGAAGAGAAGGAGGGAAGCCCCATTGCACAAGGCTTCCTCTGGCAAGACTCATTCCGCAAACCCTGCCCATGTTTCACCCAGAATAGTATTTTTAAAAACCCATTAGAAAATACCAGTGAAATCAACAGACCTTAAAAAACAGGTAGACGTAACAAGAGTATCAAAATAGCTAGACATCACCTTGCCAACAGAGGTCCGTATAGTTAAAGCTGTGGTTTTCCCAGTAGTGATGTATGGAAGTGAGAGCTGGACCATAAAGAAGGCTGATCGCCGAAGAATTGATGCTTTTGAATTCTGGTGCTGGAGGAGACTCTGGAGAGTCCCATGGACTTCAAGAAGATCAAACTGATCCATTCTGAAGGAAATCAGCCCTGAGTGCTCACTGGAAGGACAGATCCTGAAGCTGAGGCTCCAAGACTTTGACCACCTCAGGAGAAGAGAAGACTCCCTGGAAAAGACCCTGATGCTGGGAAAGATGGAGGGCACAAGGAGAAGGGGACGACAGAGGACGAGATGGTTGGATAGTGTTTTCGAAGCTACCAGCATGAGTCTGACCCAAACTGCGGGAGGCAGTGGAAGACAGGAGTGCCTGGCGTGCTCTGGTCCAGGGGGTCACGAAGAGTCGGACACGACTAAATGACTAAACAACAACAATAAATTGGAGGGAGGGTGGGTGGGTTTTTTAGACAGCTGAGGTGAAATGAAAGGACTCACTTTCATTTACTAGTAATTGAAAGACGGGAAGTCTCTGGAGAGTATGTGGACAGTCTCCTCCAAATCCTAGACTCTTAGGAATCTGGAGTTGAAAGGGACCACGAAGATCATCTAATTCAACCCTCTGCAATGCAGGAATCTTTTGCCCAGCGTGGAACTCGAACCCACAGCCCTGAGCAGTCGGAGGGTGGTTGCTATTCCCACTGTCGGAGGCAGCAGGCCTCTGGATCTTAGCTGCTGGAAATTGTAGGTGGGGAAAGAACAGAGTTACACGCAGGTCCTGCTTCTGGGCTTCCAGTAAGTACCGTATTTTTTGCTCTATAAGACTCACTTTTTCCCTCCTGAAAAGTAAGGGGAAATGTGTGTGCGTCTTATGGAGAGAATGTAGGCTATCCCAGAAGCCAGAACAGCAAGAGGGATCGCTGCTTTTGCTGCGCAGCGATCCCTCTTGCTGTTCTGGCTTCTGAGATTCAGAATATATTTTTTTCTTGTTTTCCTCCTCCAAAAACTTGGTGCGTCTTGTGGTCTGGTGCGTCTTATAGAGCGAAAAATACGGTATTTGGTTGTTCCCTGCGAGAACAGGAGACTAGCCAGGCCATTGGCCTAATCCAGGAGGGTTGTTTTGGGGCTGCTTGGGGGGGGGTATTTTCAGAAGGAGGGCGGTGGTGAGGCCTGGCGTGAACTGGGTGCGCACCCTCAAACGTGAAGCTTCCCATGGCAGGCCCTTGCGAGACCCCCAGGCTGAGTGCAGCTAGGCAGGGCTCCCTGAATTCGGAAAGCTGGACAGCTGCTGATTACAGTGAAAAAAATATTGGAATACTCTAAATTATCGGTGCACCGAGAGGAGCTCGGCAAGGTGACCCGTAGCTCAGGGAGCGCACTCTGTCTTACTGACGTCTTGCTGAGGCAGTAAAGAACTCAGCAGGGCTGAAAGCATTAATTGATAATTACGGCCAGTTCATTGATTGGAACTTGATCGATCAGGAAGATTGCAGGGTGGGAAAGTGGGCTTTTTACTCCTTAAGAATCATATCTGTCCCACGCCAGATCCTCTAGGTGTAAGAGCTGCCTCCTCGCCCCATAGTTTGGTGAGTTTCTTCAGACTCCAGACTCCTGTTTAATTTCAGTGGGATTCCAAAAGTTGAGCAGGGGGAGGGGGAGTTTGTGTCTAGGTCCAGAGACCCCGGGTGTGCAGATTTCGAAAACCATGCATTCTGTCTTTTAAATTATTTTGATGCAGAGATCTAGGTTTGGAAGGGACGTCTGTGGTCGTCTAGACCAGGGGTCAGCAACCTTTTTCTGCCGTGGGCCGGTCCACCATCCCTCAGACCATGTGGTGGGCCGGACTATATTTTGGGGGGGAAATGAACGAATTCCTGTACTCCACAAATAACCCGGAGATGCATTTTAAATAAAAGCACACATTCTACTCACGTAAAAACACCAGGCTAGCCCCACAAATAACCCAGAGGTGCATTTTAAATAAAAGCACACATTCTACTCACGTAAAAACACACTGATTCCCAGACCGTCCGCAGGCCGAATTGAGAAAGCGATTGGGCCACATCCGGCCACCGGGCCTTAGGTTGCCTACCCATGGTCTAGACCAGCGGTTCTCAACCTGTGGCTCCCCAGATGTTGTGTGACTGCAACTCCCATCACCCCTGAGCTCTGGCCTTGCTAGCTAGGGGTGATGCTAGTTGTAGTTCAACAACATCTGGGGACCCGCAGGTTGAGAACTGCTGGTCTAGACCAAGCAGGGCCCCCCCCCCCTTGCAAAGCGTCCTTTCCCTACCCGCCAACTTTCTGTTTGGCCTGCCACTGATTTCCACAGTCTGGAGTTTCTGGAGGCGGCAGCGATCAGAGCAGCTGCTTTTGACCGCCCCCCTCTCCATTGCAAGTTCAGGAGCGAATCTGTAGAAATAAGGACGCCGCAATTAAGGCAACCTGCTCTCGTATTCAAGTGCGTTTCTCAGAAGGTACATCAAATAATTGAAAGAACTTCCTGCTCTCTAATTAGTCAGATTGAATTAATTTGGCATAATAGGATTCTTCGCGTAACTCGCGGGTTGGCTTCCGATGGAAGGGGGCCTTTCTGATTAAGCTGTTTATGCGCTGCTTAAGATTTAGGCGGAGGCATAGCTGTCAACCTACAGATTTGAAAATAAGGGGCCAGCAGTCTTGAAAATAAGGGACTAGCGGCCAAAATAAGGGACCTGCAGCCTCACCTGTTCCAGGCACTCCAGTCTTCCTGTCCTCCTGCAGTCTGGTCAAACTCATGCTGGTAGCTTCAAGAACACTGTCCAACCAACTTTGTAACCAGAGGTTCAACTGAATAGAATCTGAATCACATGCACCACAAGGCCTATGCAGCCTCAACTTAAGATGGCTGGCTCCCCGGCCTGGCTTTGCACTGCAAAGTTTGCAGCAGCACGTGCAACAAAATGGCGTCCAGCATTCAAAAACCCCCTCAGCTTGCATTAACTAGCCACACACAAGGCATGCAAGCTCCACCCCCCCAGGTCGTTCTTAGACTTCTTATTGGGTGAGCAACACAGCCAAGCAACACAGTTGGAGCCTCCCTCGTCCCTGGCCGGCAGGGAGGGAGAGGAGCTGCTTCCTTTGAAATTTAAGGGACATCATTTAAGGGACATCCATCAATAAGGGACAGCAGCGGGACATGGCGTTGGAATAAGGGACTGTCCCTTCAAATAAGGGACACTTGACAGCTATGGGCGGGGGTGATTCTGTTGGACTGATGGCACCTCTTAGCATCTCTGAGGGTTTTTTTGGGGGGGGGGGTCATGTGAACAGAAAGTCCCCTTCTCTTTTAACCCCTTTGGTCTCGACTCCCAGCTACTGCTGTTGCTTCTCCTCATTTTGAATCCGTGGGGAATCCAGCCAGGGAGGTTTGGGGCTACAGCGCACCCCAGCTGCAAACTCATAACAGTGTGTTCTTAGTCAGTTTCACCTGGCAGGTACGCCGTGCTGTGGAAGATGGAAGGACGTTGTCTCCCTGCGAACTTCCTTATAGAATTAGAATCTCCCATTATTATTATTATTATTATTATTATTTTCCCCAGCCACCCTGGGTGGCTTCCAGCAAAATATTAAAATACAATAATTCATCAAATATTAAAAGCTTACCCAAACAGGGCTGCCTTCAGATGTCTTCTAAAAGTCAGATAGGTGTTTATTTCCTTGACATCTGATGGGAGGGCGTTCCACAGGGCGGGCGCCACTACCGAGAAGGCCCTCTGCCTGGTTCCCTGTAATTGCAGTTTCCGAGTCACCTTCAAAGGTAGCCCCAGGTAGAGCGCATTGCAATAGTCCAAGAGGGAGATAACCAGAGCATGCACCACTCTGGCAGTCCAGAATAATGCCGTGTTTGGCTGCCCATGTGTTTAGGGTTTTCTTTCTTTTCCTCCTTACAGCCTGTCCCAAGAATCATGGTCCAGTCTGCCAGTGTTGATGCCACCGCAGCAAAAGTGCAGCAGGTAAGCCCTTGGCCAGGTTCTTGCTGCATCCTGCTCTTGCATCTGTGACCTGGGTAGCCCCTGGCGGAGATCTCACCTTTGCCACAGGCTCACTCAGTGGTCCTCAAAAGCTGCTGACCTCTCGCCCCGCGAAGTCCCCCTTCCACACATATTCTGTGGGTGACAAGGCTGACACAACCCTGTGTTTTGCTGGAGGCTCTTGTCTTGTCTACATTTCCAAAATATTAGATAAAAAACAAATAAAACAAAACCTACATACAACAACAGTGTTTTGTGTTGTGTAGGCTCCTGTGATGTAAGTCATGGACCCCGCCTGCTAGTCTGCTCCCTAAAATATCCCTGGTTTGCTCATTTCTATATACAGGGTGCCCACATTCTGCTATTTATAATTATTAGTAGTTTGCACCATATATTTACACCTATAATTATTTCATGTTCTAGCAAGTTTCTAGAGACTAGATTATGAGTCTTTGTAAATTGTGTTTCTAAAGGAACTTTTGTTATTGCCAAATGCCCAGGTTTTTGCATTATTAAGTTTGTTACGAATGAAAAATTTTAAGTTAGAGCTTAATAATTATTTCACTATTAATATACTTCTTCTTAATGGTATTTCACTATTAATATATATTCTTATATATTATATATATTATATATTAATATATATTCTTAATTGTATTTCACTATTAATATACTTCTTTTTAATTGCATTTCAGTTCAACAATTACTTTGATAAAATACATATTTTGTAATGTGCAAATGGATTTAGATATGCATTAAAGGTAAAGGGACCCCTGACCATTAGGTCCAGTCGTGGCCGACTCTGGGGTTGCAGCGCTCATCTCGCTTTACTGGCCGAGGGAGCTGGCAAACAGCTTCCGGGTCATGTGGCCAGCAGGACTAAGCCGCTTCTGGCAAACCAGAGCAGCGCACAGAAATGCCGTTTACCTTCCCGCTGGAGTGGTACCTATTTATCTACTTGCACTTTGACGTGCTTTCGAACTGCTAGGTTGGCAGGAGCTGGGACCGAGCAACAGGAGCTCACCCCGTCGCGGGGATTGGAACCGCTGACCTTCTGATTGGCAAGCCCTAGACTCAGTGGTTTAACCCACAGCGCCACCCGCGTCCCTTCTAGATATGCATCAGGTCCATAAATTACCATATAGCATATATTCAACACAAAAAACAGCAACAATTTGTTGTTGACAAAGGACAGCTGGACATATAAAGGGCCCCATTACCTTCAGGAGCTGAGGGCCTCATGAAACCGAAATCCGGCCCTGCTTGCCTCCCGTGTGATGGGGCATCTTAGAATGCTGCAATGCCCCCCCCCCAAATGACATGGCGACAACATAGAATCATGGACCAGAATTGAAGAGTCGAAAGGGACCCCGAGGGTCATCCAGTCCAACCCACTGCAATGCAGGAATCAAACCCGCAACCATAAGATAAAGAGTCTCACGCTCTATGGACTGGGCTATCTTTCCAAGTCCCTTGCTTGAGCCCTTCCGATACTTCCCTCCCCATTCCCTGCAAAAGAGGGGGTTGTGGAGTGTAAAGTCATCTTAACAGGGAACAGCTTGGCAGGAGCGATTGATTCTTCGGAGTTTGTCAATGCTGTTGCCAAGATATATATATCACCAGGATGGGCTGTTAATCTTAGCAGGTGCTGTTAACTCTGTACCTTGCAAGTTTGTCCTGCCGCAGTTAACGCATTTGCGAAGGGCTCTGAGTTTGGAGCGCGGGACTCTGCGCATCCTGGCGCCTGGCTTGCGCACGAGTGATTTATCCCTTCAGCGAATTTAGCCAAATAACTAAGAGAGACTTATAGATCTGGCTTGTTTCCCCCCGTTCACATAAATCGCCCTTTTCAAACAGCAGGTGCCCGTTCCCGTAATATAAATAACATTTCGGTAAATAATAGGGGGCATATTTATTGTGCTCCATACATTTGTATATTAATCCTACCAGGCCTTTCTGGAAGAAATTGGCTATTTGCAAAACTGGCTGCTAATGCACTGGGAGTTCAGATAATCCGCAATCTCACCGGCGTGTGTTGCTAAACTCTCTGTGAATCATTTGGGCCCCGGCTTCTGTAATGGGTGCGTGCCTGAGCATTTTGAATTATGAAATGTAAGAGGATGCTGCACAGATTTGTGGCCTGTTCTGAACGTCTAAATCTTAGAGAGTGTGTGTGTGTGTTTGTATGTGTGTGTTAAGAACAGGTCTCAAGTTTTTTGAAAAATGTTTTGGGCCTCCCGCTGACATTCCGCAACTCTTTGGAACGCATCTGGAGCTTTAAGAAACGGTTGTGGACACCGCAAAAATACCCATTTCACAGAAGTTGGCAGTGCTCAGAACCACCACCCTCGAATGAAAAGCACACAACAAACCTCTGCCCTCCTCAAAAAGAAATAAAAAACACTGTAAGATAATAAAAGCGGCCGAAAGAAAGAAAGCACCCCCGCTCCCAGCTCTCAGTTCTTAAAATTAAAAAATTGGCAGAGGAATTTTGATGGACCACCAGGAGTGATGTCTGAAGTTGCCACGCTGGAGAAGGCAGCTTCAGACGCTGTGGGAAAGGCAGATAAGCCATTGCTCCCTCGAGGGCAGGGATTGAGAAATGTTTGGCCAAGACGGGCATCTCACACTTCTTTTTGGCTCTATGAACTCATCCCTGGTGCCGCCTAACCTTATAAAAAGAATTGCTCGGAATAGCCTTTTGCAAGACCCACTAGGGGAAATGATAACACAATACAATTTGAAACGGCAACAATTACTTATCAAAGAACCCCCCAAAAGCCTTAGATGACCTTTTTTCTCTTCAAAAGGACCAGAGGTTTTCTTTCAGGTGGTAGGAGTGTGTCTGTGTGCCCAAGCCCTATTGAAACATGCATCTCCCCCAACCCCAGATATCGCCCAGACCTGCTTTTGAGCTGCCACACCCTGCTTAGGAGATTCCCAGAAGGAGCCAGGGGAAAGAGGAAACCAGGCTTAGATGCTACACGTCAAAGCCTCCCTCTTAGGCCTGCCTTTCCCCTCCGCTTCTCTATTGTTGCCGTTTAGTCGTGTCCGACTCTTGACCAGAGCACACCAGGCACTCCTGTCTTCCACTGCCTCCCGCAGTTGGGTCAAACTCATGTTGGTCTCTTCGAGAACACTGTCCCACCATCTCGTCCTCTGTCGTCCCCTTCTCCTTGTGCCCTCCATCTTTCCCAGCATCAGTGTCTTCTCCAGGGAGTCTTCTCTTCTCATGAGGTGGCCAAAGTATTGGAGCCTCAACTTCACGATCTGTCCTTCCAGTGAGCACTCAGGGCTGATTTCCTTCAGAATGGAGAGGTTTGATCTTCTTGCAGTCCATGGGACTCTCAAGAGTCTCCTCCAGCACCAGAATTCAAAAGCATAAATTCTTCGGCCATCAGCCTTCTTTATGGTCCAGCTCTCACTTCCATACATCACTACTGGGAAAACCATGGCTTTAACTATACGGACCTTTGTTGGCAAGATGATGTCTCTGCTTTTTAAGATGCTATCTAGGTTTGTCATTGCTTTTCTCCCAAGAAGCAGGCGTCCTTTAATTTCGTGACTGCTGTCAACATCTGCAGTGATCATGGAGCCCAAGAAAGTCAAACCTCTCACTGCCTCCATTTCTTCCCCTTCTATTTGCCAGGAGGTGATGGGACCAGTGGCTATGATCTTCGTTTTTTTGATGTTGAGCTTCAGACCATATTTTGCGCTCTCCTCTTTCACCCTCATTAAGAGGTTCTTTAATTCCTCCTCTTCTTAGCTCCTGCCAAAGAACATTAAAAATACTGCCAGCAAGCCAACCGCAGGTGCTTTCATGTTTCGTCCCCCCCCCAAAAAAATAATTTTTATTTGATTTTAAAAGTATAAAATTATAACAATACAACCATACACATACACATTTGGAAATTCCTCCGAATCTCTGGACTTCCCACCTTCCCTTCTGTGAGTCCTATTATTAAACCTTTTCTACTGCATCTTTTTCAATAATCCATATTTTATATAAATCCATTATTTTCATAGCACTTGCTACATTACGAGTAAAAAAAAAAAAATTCCTTCCAGTAGCACCTTAAAGGTAAAGGTAAAGGTACCCCTGCCCGTACGGGCCAGTCTTGACAGACTCTGGGGTTGTGCGCCCATCTCACTCAAGAGGCCGGGGGCCAGCGCTGTCCGAAGACACTTCCGGGTCACGTGGCCAGCGTGACATCGCTGCTCTGGCGAGCCAGAGCCGCACACGGAAACGCCGTTTACCTTCCCGCTAGTAAGCGGTCCCTATTTATCTACTTGCACCCAGGAGTGCTTTCGAACTGCTAGGTTGGCAGGCGCTGGGACCGAACAACAGGAGCGCACCCCGCCGCGGGGATTCGAACCGCCGACCTTTCGATCGGCAAGCCCTAGGCGCTGAGGCTTTTACCCACAGCGCCACCCGCGTCCCCAGTAGCACCTTAAAGACCAACTAAGTTAGTTCTTGGTATGAGCTTTCGTGTGCATGCACACTTCTTCAGATACACTGAAACAGAAGTTGCCAGATCCTTCTATATAGTGAGAAGGTGGGGAGGGGTATTACTCAGAGGGGGGTGGGAATGGGTGATTGGCAGATGGCTGTGATGAGCTTGTTGACGACTCTTAAGGACGGCAATAGGTCTTACAGGAAAAAGCAAGGGGTGAGAAGGTGAAAAATGGCTTTGTCATGTATAGTGAGATAAGAATCCAATGCCTTTGTTCAGACCAGGTTTCTCCATGGTTTTAAGTTTGGTAATGATTTGCAATTCAGCAGCTTCTCTTTCCAGTCTATTTCTGAAATTCCTTTGTAGTAAAACAGCTACTTTGAGATCTTGTATAGAAGAAGTGTGCATGCACACGAAAGCTCATACCAAGAACTACCGTATTTTTCGCTCTATAACACGCACCTGACCATAACACGCACATTGTTTTTAGAGGAGGAAAACAAGGGAAAAAACATTCTGAATGAAACAGTGGATGTATCATTTTTGTGCTTCATGCTGTGGCCACAGACATGTGATCTGATGGTGAATTTGGGGTGACCCAATGCAAAAATCCTGAGAATTCATGTGGATCCATGCTTTGTAACCACGTTTTTGCACCATTGTGGCCCCAGGCAACAGTGGGTGCGTGATTTTTTGGGTGGAGGCTGTAGCCATGGACATGCTATGTGATCTGATGGTGAATTTGGGGTGACCCAATGCAAAGATCCTGAGGATCCATGTGGATCCATGCTTTTTAACCACGTTTTTGCACCATTGCAGCCCCAGGCAACAGTGGGTGCATGATTTTTTTGGTGCAGGCTGTAGCCATGGACATGCTATGTGATCTGATGGTGAATTTGGGGTGACCCAATGCAAAGATCCTGAGGATCCATGTGGATCCATGCTTTTTAACCACGTTTTTGCACCATTGCAGCCCCAGGCAACAGTGGGTGCGTGATTTTTTTGGTGCAGGCTGTAGCCATGGACATGCTATGTGATCTGATGGTGAATTTGGGGTGACCCAATGCAAAGATCCTGAGGATCCATGTTGATCTATGCTTTGTAACCACATTTTAAGTGGGGAGCGAAGGAAAAACAAAGAAGGGACATGAGAGGGGTGTGCAGAGAAGCAGCTGGCTAAGAATGCTGGAGAGGGATAACGGGTGGGAGGAAAGAAAGGCAAAAGTCCCCCCCAAGCCAGCCATATCTCTCTCTCTCTCTCTCTCTCTCTCTCTCTCTCTCTCTCCCTCCCTCCCTCCCTCCCTCCCTCCCTCCCCCCTCTCTCTCCCTCCCCCCCTCTCTCTCCCTCTCCCTCCCCCCTCTCCCTCCCCCACTCTCTCTCCCTCTCCCCCAGCAGCACCGGAGCACAGAGAGGAATTAGAAAGAACGGCACTCTGCTTGCCTGGAGGGGAGGGGCTTTCCCTGCTCTTTGTTCCGTTTCAGCAATCACAGCAACGAAACAGAGGAGGGTGGGCAGTAAGACCCTGAGGCAGAATGCAGGAAAGCAACCACTTCCTCTTTTCAGGTTTCCCTTCTCCGTGACTCGCGATTTGACTTTTGCTTGATTTTTTGGCTCCAGGGACCACACATTCGCTCTATAACACGCACAGACATTTCCCCTTCCTTTTTAGGAGAAAAAATCTGCGTGTTATAGAGGGAAAAATACGGTAACTTAGTTGGTCTTTAAGGTGCTACTGGAAGGAATTTTTTTTGTTTTGACTATGGCAGACCAACACGGCTACCCATCTACATTACGAGTGTCATTGCACACCTGCTAATGTTTCCATCTGCTTACAATGGTCTCCAAGATAAATTATACATTTCATTACATTACATATCATTTCCCAATTTTAAAAAATTTCTCTGCATTCCCACCACATGTGGTAAAAGGTCCCCTCTTTTTCTTTACATTTCCAACATATGTTTGACTGGGTTTTATACATTCTTGCTATCTGTTCTGGTGTTATATACCATCTATACATAATTTTCATGTAATTTTCTTTCAGAAGAGAACAGTCTGTAAATTTTAAATCTGTTTTCCACATTTTTTCCCAATCCTCAAATTGTATATTATGAACTATATTTTTTTACTACCTTCTCAGTGCTTTGCTGTTTCCTAAACGAGTTGTAACTCTGGCGTCTCTGTTTGTGCTCTAGGTCTCCCAAGGAGAAGGCGCCAAGGAGCCCTTTGAGGTGGCCGCGCAGTTGACAGAGCCGGAACAGACCCCCGAAAAGACCCCCAAAGTGCCTCCGCAGCCGCCCGCAGCCGACATTCAGGCGCAGGATTCCCAGGACGGCCCGCCGAGCCCCTTGAGTGAGGCCTCCAGCGGCTATTTCTCCCACAGCGTTTCCACAGCCACCCTTTCCGAGGCGCTCGCGCCGGGGAATGACACCCAGCTCCCGGCCGGTGGGCAGACGCCTGCCGCGAGTGACACAATGCAGCCTGCTGCGGCCGCCCAAACTGGGGCCGTCGTGGATGTGCTGGTGAAACCGTGTCTCGCCTCCTCCCCTGAGCCTTGTGTCCCTCCTCTAGCGAGAGATGACCCGGTCACCCCCGGCCTTAACAAAACGGACCAGGCAAGAACTAAGGGCAGCGGAGACCGAGGGCACAGTGATGGCACCTCGAAGCCAAAGCCCGTGGCCTCTTCCGCAGTTCCGAGCGAGGACAGCCCTCCTTCTTCCTCCCCGTCAAAGAACGACTCGCAGGCAACACAGCGGTCTGGCGCTCCCCTAGCTCGGAGCCCCCCTTTGGCGACCAAATCTCTCCCCGACGCAGGACTTTCCAGATCTCCAGTTCTGGCTGAGCCATCGCCTCAGCCCGGCGTCGCGAGCTCCCCGTTCAAAATCCAGAGAGTTCGGACGTCGGAGCTGAGATCCTTCTCCAGCATGCTGGGAGGAGAGCCAGTGGGGTTCTCGAGTTCCGAGGAGGTGGGAGAGGAGAGAGAGGAGCGGAGCCCGCAAAGCCCCGCCCAGAACAACGGCACAGCGGCCAGCACCTCCGAGGAGAAGCCGGATGCCACGTCCGACTCGGAAGAAACCAACGAGGTCCCGGACTGGCTGAAGGAGGGAGAATATGTGACCGTCGGTACGAATAAGACCGGGACCGTGAGATACGTCGGGCCGACCGACTTCCAGGAGGGCACCTGGGTGGGAGTTGAGTTGGACATGCCGTCAGGTAAGCGTGGCTGGGGAGGTGATGGGGTGCTTTGCGGGGTGGTGGCCGGTCTCAGGGCAGGAGCCGCTTCCTCAGAACGGAGGAAGCCTTGGCGCAGATTTGCTGCGGGAAGCGAGAGAGGTATCTGCAGGAGAAATTGCCTTAGCGGGTTCAAGCATGGAGGCTCACGCCAAGTTCCCAACTGGCGGAATCAAATCAGATTTGAATTGGTCAGACTTTGTTCGGTAATTTATTTATTTACGTAATGGAACCTCGGCTTTTGAACGCAATCCATTCTGGAAGACCATTCGACTTCCAAAGCATTCAAAAACCAAGGATCAATGGATGGTCGGCAAAATCTATTGGAAAAATGGAGAAACGCGCCTCGTTCGACTTCCAAGGTGCATTCGAAAATGGAAGCAATGACTTCCGTTTTCGGCGTTTGGGTTCTGAATGGTTCAGCTTCCAAGGTGCTCAAAAAACCCAGGTTCCGCTGTATTAAATTTGCGTGCTGCAAAACTTGGCCACCCTTAGCGTGATCTCTGAATCCTTATCCTCTATCAGGGATTTTAAACGTTGAGGTTCAGACCCACTTGGAATTTTCCTTCCAGTAGCACCTTAGAGACCAACTAAGTTTGTTCTTGGGATGAACTTTCGTGTGCATGCACACTTCTTCTGATACACTGAAACAGAAGTCACCAGACCCTTATATATAGTGAGAGGGTGGGGAGGGGTATTACTCAGAAGGGTGGTGGGAGATGGGTGATTGGCTGATAGGTGTGGTAAGCCAGTTGACGACTGTTAACTACTGCAATTGGTCTTACAGGAAAAAGCAAGGGATGAGATGGCCAAAAATAGCTTTATCATGTGTAATGAGATAAGAATCCAATGTCTCTATTCAGACCAGGTCTCTCCATGGTTTTAAGTTTGGTAATAAGTTGCAGCTCAGCAACTTCTCTTTCCAGTCTATTTCTTTTGTAATATGACAGCTACTTTGAGATCTTGCATAGAATGTCCTGGGAGACTGAAGTGTTCTCCTACTAGTTTCTCTGTCTTGTGATTCCTGATATCAGATTTATGTCCATTTATCCTTTGGCGTGTTGTAAACAAAATCTGCCCTTTTTCCCTTATGGGGTTTCCAAGAGCCCATATAGAGTCCTTACATAGGTTCCCTATTGGGAGGAGAAAATAACAGAGGCCAACCAGAGAATATTGAGAAGCAAAGCAGCTCATAAGCCTGATCTTTATTGATCTGTTGCAACAGGGTGCTCCCCTCACACGCAGGAAAGGAGGGAGACCCAGAACAAAGGTGTGCCTGCGCTTATATAGACATTTTAAATTCCCTGCCCAGGAGCTCAAGACCACCCCTCCATACATCATACATACATCACAGAAGGGGTGTAACCCAAGACCACCCCTCAGATACATCATACCTACATCACAGAAAAGGCGGTCTACAGCAGAAATCTGAGTGCATTTCTTATCTCGTCTGACAGGTTACCTGTTAATGCTCACTTGATTGGATATAGTAATCACTTGATTCGATACCCTGGGGAGCCTGGCCAGTCTTTTGTAATGATAAATACTTAGTTCCTGAGCCAGGTCACAGGCTCTCCCTATTCAGACACAGACATACCCTTAAGACAGGATTTGTGAAGGAAAAGACAATGGGGAGGCTTTTCCATTTTCCTTTGACCTTGCATGGAAAACATTTGCTCAGTTTGGGAATCAAAAATGGTTTCAGGTCGGTCTTCCTGTGCTGATCTACGTACGTGCTTGGTTGGTACATTTATGAACATTTAATATATATCTAAGACCTTAAAATTCTTATCACAGGCGTAGGGTTTGGCCTGTTTGTCCAATATAGAGGGGGTAATAAATTATACATTTTGGACAAAAGTTTCTCTTTGTGAAACCTCTTCTTTTCTCTCTCCCCCCCCCCCCAGGCAAGAACGACGGTTCAATCGGAGGGCGGCAATACTTCAAGTGCAATCCAGGCTACGGGCTCCTCGTGAAGCCCAGCCGGGTCAAGAAAGCCACGGGGCCGGCCAGGCGCCGGAGCGCCGGGACAAGACTGCAGGGCGGGGGGACCCCCGAGCAGCGGAAGAGCGGCACCTTCTCGGGCTCGGCCTCCAACCTCGCTTCCCTGACCGCCTTGGCCAAAGCGGAAAAGACCCCCAGGAACGCAGAGAACCGGAAGTCGTGGGCCAACTGAGCGGAGCAGCGGCCGGACACTGCCTTGCGAGAATCTGACACTTCCTCGAGAGCGGCCTTACTTTGCACAACTAAACAAAGCCGGCGGGGGCAGTTGCCGGGCCCGGGGGGGGGTTCGTTCTTTCCTTGGGTCGTCGGTTGACTTCTTGCCATGAAGGGGTATCGGCATGTTGCTCCGGATGCAAACCGCGACCCTTTTCCATCCCTCTCTTCACCCCCTGCCAGGTGAGGTTTTAAAAAAAAGCCATCTGCCGTCGTGACTTCACAGATTTCCAGCCCTCCTGCAAGAGGCAATGTTCACGGAGTCTCTTTTTAAGGAAATGCGCTGTTGTTCGGGGCCTCACCCTTAAACCACTGGAGAGAGAAGAAGAAGAGACTTGTGTGTCCTGGCGGATGGCGGCTTCAGAGAAACAGTGCCTGGCTTGAGTATTGCTCTCTGGTCTTTTCGTCCCTCTTGCCGGCATCGCTGGGAAGGTATCGCCCCTCGCTGCACTGGGACGAGGCTTTTTGGGGGCTGGCCAGTTGGGTGGTGGGTTGCCCCCCCCCCGGGAAAAAATGCCTGAATCTTTAAAAGCAAAGACACCTTGCATCTAGCTGACGACACTGCTCTAGTGCTTTTTCTATTTAAAGGAGAAAAAGAGACTTTTCTCCGAGACCCTGCTTGGGTTTTTAGAATTTATTATTTCGGCATGCCCTCTGGTGCTACTGTATTTATGAAACCAGTTCCCTGTACGGTTGGTTGAAAGTTTGGTCTCTGGGGGGCTTCCTCCTTTGCGGCGTCGATGTTTAATCAGTGTGTAAAGCAGATTCCCACCCCCATCTCTCCCCCACCCCCCCAAAAAAAATTCTATGGTATTTATTTCTTATTTATTGCTAAAAGAATGATAGCAGCACAGCCCTTGCGATTTGCAATCAGCACGCCGCCTGCCAGCTTGCGCCAGCCTCTTTGCACTGCTCCACGCAGGTTTCCCTCAACTGCTCTCCTTCCCGTCGAAGAATTAAAACGTCTCTCCAGATTTTAAGCTGGCAATCGGACTGAGGTGTGTAGTTTCTGCGGCTGCGTTGAGCCCAGAACAAAACCGCTTTGTGGCTCGCTCAGCTCAGTGCAACCCCACAAGCCACAGATGGAGGCTGGGAAAATTTCACAGATTCCCAGTGGCCTAGAAAACACCCCCCCCCAAAAAAAACCCCTCTTTTGAGCTGAAGGCACAGAGGAGGTTGTAGAGTCCTGCAAGGGTCCCGTGACTGTTGAGCTGCCTTAGTCGGCCACCGCGAGTGCCCTTGCCTGTTTTGTGCTTCCCCACTGAAAGGGGCAGGACACAAGCAATGGCCTGCTAAAACTCGGAGCTGATTTCCTGTTGCCAGGTGCATTCGCAGGGGGTCCTCCTCACCCCCCCCCCATTCTGCAAGAGCATCTCCCGCAAGCATGCGCGGTGGTAATCTTGCGAGTGGACCTTGCTCCTCGTCGATCCTTCATTTCTGCCTTGAACCCCTTCCGAAATTTCTGGGATTTCCTGTGGGCAAACGCCGTTGCACTCTGGCTCTCTCGCTGTCTTTCGGCTTGCCGAAGGAGAGTTCGAGAGCCTCAGGCCAGCTGTGGGTGCATGTGAGTTGGTGACTTTTTCTCGCGCAGCCTCCCCGTTCTTCCTCTCTCCTTCCCGTGCGCTTGCGCAGCCAAGTTGTGCCTTAATCATCCAGCCGGAAGGAAAAAGCCCTTGCGGAAGGATGTGCGGACGATTTGGAAGGAAAGGCAGAGTGCTTTGCAAGCAGGTTCAGTTGGCAGCATTATCCCCTGCGACAGACGCCCTTCCTGACACCCTGGAGAGATGCTGCCAGCCAGTGTAGACAATACTGAATCCGATGGACCAACAGCCTGACTTGGCAGAAAGCGGGTTCCTGTATCTCCTTTGCAGGAGATGCCCCTGCCGACTGGCCCTGGGGCGTGCAAATGTGATGTTCAAATAAGAAGCCATGTGGGTCAGGAAATGGTTGGCTGGGGAAGACGGAGGGAAGAGGGGCAGGCAGGCACCAAGTGGAGAACTGGCAGACTTGACTTGGCACCATCGAGTTGGCTGGGACCCTAAGAGGTCCTCTAGACTGACCCCCTTTAACCACAGCTAACGGGGGCGCTCTTCTCCAGACAGACAGAAAAGGAAGACTAAGGCGCATAGTCCTTTCAGTGATGCATGCACCACTACAAAGGGTGAAGGGGACTGGAGATAAATGAATACTACAGTGAAAGGAGCCTTAAAGGCCACTCTGGGCATTCTGTAGATCAAGAAAACCCAGAGGCTTTAGATGCGTAAGAGACGGTGGCAGTGCAGAAAGGGGGTGTCTTTGGAGCAAGCTGAGCTCCAGGACTGAGGGGGCAAGAGTATAAAAGCAGCTGGTTCCCTATGCCCCCCACCCCTCTAGGAATTTTAATAAAGCACACTTGGGGGGGGGGTTAGGAAAATATTTCACCGTTGCGTCTTAAAGCGCCTCCTCGCGGCTTTCTAACTGGAGGAGAAATGCTCCACACGAGCTACAATTGCCCCCCAGCACAGCTTCAGAGAAATGAAATGAGTGCCAAAATCTGGGCGTTTTAATATCCAGGCAGGGTTTTATTGAAAAAAGGAAAAAGTTCTGCGGGGGAATCTTTCAAACCTGTCAGTCGTGATCCTTAAAGAATGAAGCCCACCTGAGTCCCGTGGAAATTGGTTATGCTGGGTTTTGTGACTCAATGAGGGCCAGTAGTTTGCCTGTTAAGTGGACGTTTCTAGGATTCCACATTAGGTCCCTACCCCCTGCAGTCCTCCCTCGGGGCTGCTGTGCCGAACAACACAAGCGGCAACAGTTTTCCCACCGCGGCAACGGGCATCCTTAACAAACTTACCATTACCTTCCTGCTTATTTCCGGCATGTGTGAGCAATCCCAGGTGAGCCGAGGCTTGCTTGGCAGGTAAACCTGCCACGCTCCCTGCCATCGGGGCCCCTGGGTTTTGCCAGAACTTTTCATGCACTTTACAAAGGGGAAAGGGCGCTGGTTGGGCAAGTTGTGTTGGCAGCCCGTAAGCCAGAGGACGCCTTTGAGACCAGACTTTGCCAACCTGATGCCCTCCAGTTCTTTAGGGCTACAGCCTCCATCAGTCCCAGCCAGTTCAGAGGGCACCAAGTTGGCAAAGGCCTCTTGAAGCCTTTGCGGTTCTCTGACTCGGGGGCAGCCTCCTTCTAACCCTTTGACACTTTTGCCCTTCCTTTTATATTTAATTCATTGTCCGAGCTCAAGAGCCCTTTGCGTAAAGAATAGCTTTCAAGAATGATTGGGAACAGGACTTGAGACAGTGAAATAAAACGGCTTGTTGCAATTAAAAGCCCTGCTGTGGGTACTCGTGCGGTTTTCTGGATCATGCCCCCCGTCTTTTCAACAAGACGTAACATCCTTTCCTTTCGTCTTGCATTAGCTGCCCTTTAAAAAAACCCCAAACCCTCAAGGTCTGCTTTTTCCAACAAATTGTGGCAGCTCTTAAGCCAGAGCGCCGCTGGCAAGTTGTTTTCCACGTTAACAAGGAAACGCAAGCTTGCGCCAGCCATTGCGACTCCCCATGTAATTTGCACGTGGAACCGGGCTTTGAAAGATAAGCGTCTCTTAGGAGCTCCGCCTGCAAAAATAACCTTTTTTCTTTTTTCAATCATGGAGCAAAGAGTTTCTACAGTATGTTCAATGGGTCCACCGTAGAATTATCCACTGCTAAGACTTTGAAGTTCAAATACATTTTTTTTAAAAAGTGCAGTTTCTTTGGGTTTGCAGCTGTGTACACTTTGCTTGCATCGAAAGCTTTTACATAGTTGATTTGGGGGTGCTGAACACATGGGACACTGCCCCAGTGGCTCGTATTTTCGGCTTCCTTTTAACCAAGCCACAATTCCTTCTACTGTGCCTTATCGGTTTGACAGCTGGCTTGCCCACTGAACCAGGGATTGGGAACCTCTGACCCTCCAAATGGGACTCCCAGCACCCACCAGCCTCAGCCAGCCCTGGCCCCTGGGTTCCCCAGCCCTGCTTTTAAGACAATAGCAGGCACTCCCAGGTCTGTAGGGCCAACAAGTTGGCTGGAGAGATGGCTGCAGAGGAACGACCGCCCTGTCGTCGTCATCTTGAAATGTGGAAGGTTTTCTTTAGCACCACTTTCCAGCTGGGGCGCTTCATCGACACCAGCTCCATTAGCAGCCTGCGTCCCAGTAGAATCGCAGAATTATCATGTTGGAAGAGGGACCCCACGGGTCATCTAGCCAAACCCGCTGCAATGCAATCCTGCCTTTCTTCAGCCAGCTCTGCCGCGGCCGTGTCTTGTTCCAGTATCTCTGAAAGAGTTTCCCCAGGGCTGAGGCCAAAGGCCCCACCCAAGGTGGCGGCGCCAGCAACCTGCCGCCATTTTGTGTGCGTGCGCGCCAGGTATAGAATGGTAGCTGCCAAGGAGGCAACACCCAGTGGGAATTTTACCTGGCAAGAGTCACGGGCAGAAGTTTTGGGTGATCTGATTTAACGCGCAAATTCATCCCAAATCTGCATGAGTGGGAAAGTGGCCTGATCCTTGCTCCCCTACCGCAGACACACCTAAACAGCACTACACACGAGCACAAGAGGCGTTTGCCAAGGCGGCAACCTTGGCTCTGTGCAGAATGCGTCCCCATGTGGTCATGATTCCAGGGTCACTAACTCTCCCTCTCCCGTCTTAGGGAGGGGAGCGGGCTTTCAGAGTTAACTACTTTCCGTTGATTTGTGTTGTGATCTTTACTTCTTTGTAAATGTAGGGAGACTGTATATAAAGGATGGATGTTCAGCTGGTTTCGGAAGTGTCTGTTGGTTGTACCTTTTTAAAATGCGCTAAAAATCCAAAGATAAACTGTAATGAAGTGTAAAGTTTTTAATGCTCTCTTGTATCATACTAAACTTGTAATATTGTACCATACCTGTGACATGATGTACCTTACCTAAAATAAAAACACCTCCTTTACGTTAAGCCTCGAATCCTCGCTCGCTCTGTTTCTCCCTCCCTCCCAGACCTGAGACCTCCGGTTATTAAGGTAAAGGTAAAGGTACCCCTGCCCGTACGGGCCAGTCTTGACAGACTCTGGGGTTGTGCGCCCATCTCACTCTAGAGGCCGGGGGCCAGCGCTGTCCGGAGACACTTCCGGGTCACGTGGCCAGCGTGACAAAGCCGCATCTGGCGAGCCAGAGCCGCACACGGAAACGCCATTTACCTTCCCGCCAGTAAGCGGTCCCTATTTATCTACTTGCACCCAGGGGTGCTTTCGAACTGCTAGGTTGGCAGGCGCTGGGACCGAGCAACGGGAGCGCACCCCGCCGTGGGGATTCGAACCGCCGACCTTTCGATCGGCAAGCCCTAGGCGCTGAGGCTTTTACCCACAGCGCCACCCGTGTCCCTAATTCCGGTTATTAGGGAGGTATATAAATTCAAAAAATAAATAAGAATAGAAGCCTGCTTGCCTGGCCAAAGCACTGCAGATCTGCTGGGTTAAGGAAACCCAAGCAAATAGGAATCAGTGGAGGAGTCAAAGAGGACCACCTGGCCAAAGTTCTGTGCTTAAAGAGGAAATCCAGATTTATTTATTGTCCTGGATGTGTTCCATGAAGTGAGCATGTTTTTATTCTTTCCCTTGCCCAATTCACTCCGAAGTTTTTGCTAGTTGTGCGGAAGATATAGCAGTGGCTGTGCAGGGAACTGAAGTGTCTCTCTAATCAGCACACTTTTTCAGCAGGGGGCCGGTCCGCCATCCCTAAGACCTTGTGGGGGGCCAGACCATATTTTGGAAAGAAAAAAATGAACGAATTCCTACGCCCCACAAATAACCCAGAGATGCATTTTAAATAAAAGGACACATTCTGCTCCTGTAAAAACATGGATTCCCAGGCGGTCCGCGGGCTGGATTTAGAAGGCGATTGGGCCGGATCCGGCCCCCGGGCCTTGGTTTGTCTACCCATGCTCTAACCCTCCTCCCCATCAACTAAAAACTTTTGCTTTCGGTGAGAGCTCAGTCAGTAGAGCATGAGACTGACTCTCAGGGTCATGGGTGAAAGATTCCTGAATCACACTGGGAGCCAGTGTGGTGTAGTGGTTAAGAGTGGTAGATTTGTAATCTGGTGAACTGGGTTCGCGTCTCTGCTCCTCCACATGCAGCTGCTGGGTGACCTTGGGCCAGTCACACTTCTTGACGTCTCTCAGCCCCACTCACCTCACAGAGTGTTTGTTGTGGGGCAGGAAGGGAAAGGAGAATGTTAGCCGCTTTGAGACTCCCTAAAGGGAGTGAAAGGCGGGATATCAAATCCAAACTCAAAACTCAAATTGCAGGGGGCTGGATTAGATGATGCTCAAGCTCCCTCCCAACTTTGAATTTTTTGATTCTATAACTTCAGCAAGCTTTGCTAACATTGTGCCTTTTATTCACAGGGGATAGAAACTTGTAAGGTGGTTCTCAAGAAGAATGTGGGTCATTACACTTCCATGTACCTGTGAAATTGCAGTATACAGACACATGCACTGCAACACTATTTTACTTTAAATAAATTAAAAAATTGTCCAGTAGCACCTTAGAAATCAACTAAGTTTGTTCTGGGTATAAGCTTTCGTGTGCATGCACGCTTCTTCATATACACAGGGTGATTCCTCGTAGAGTTGTTCCGTGCAGAGAGTTCCTCCTTTATTTGCTTCTGTTTTAGGGAAGTTTTTAATGTGTGACATTTTGATGTATTTTTAATCTTTGTGGGAAGCCGCCCAGAGTGGCTGGGGAACCCGGCCAGATGGGTGGGGTACAAATAAATTAATATTAGTATTAGTATTTATTTTAGAGTACAGAACACTGATCAGATGTTTGAGCAGCTTCTTTAGAAAGTGTGACATATTTTCTTTGCATATTTAGTAGGATAGGTAGATTGTAAGTAAAGGTAAAGGGACCCCTGACCATTAGGTTCAGTCATGGCCGACTCTGAGGTTGCGGCGCTCATCTCGCTTTATTGGCCGAGGGAGCCGGCGTACAGCTTCCAGGTCATGTGGCCAGCATGACTAAGCCGCTTCTGGCAAACCAGAGCAGCGCACAGAAATGCCGTTTACCTTCCCGCCGGAGCGGTACCTATTTATCTACTTGCACTTTGACGTGCTTTCGAACTGCTAGGTTGGCAGGAGCAGGGACCGAGCAATGGGAGCTCACCCCTTCGCGGGGATTCAAACCGCTGACCTTCTTATCAGCAAGTCCTAGGCTCTGTGGTTTAACCCACAGCGCCACCCATGTCCCCTAAGTGGATTGTAGAGGGTTCTTAATTCTAAGACCCTTAGGTATAATGTCCAGGTTCTTGCATTTAGTCAGAAAGGAGATCTCAGTCTGTACCTGTGCAAGTTTCTTTGTGAGGTTGATGGACTTCCATTTCATGCGGCTCAGTTTGGCGCCTTCCATAATTCTAGATTCAGGTAGGTAGCCATGTTGGTCTGATGCAGTCAAAATAAATTTAAAAATTAAAGAACTGTCCAGTAGCACCTTAGAGACCAACTAAGTTTGTTCTGGATATAAGTGTATCTGAAGAAGTGTGCATGCACACGAAAGCTTATACAGTGGTGCCTCGCAAGACGAAATTAATTCGTTCCGCAAGTTTTTTCTTCTTGCGAGTTTTTCGTCTTGCGATGCACGGTTTCCCATAGGAATGCATTGAAAATCAATTAATGCGTTCCTAGGGAAACCACCTTCAGACCAGGTCCGGGGACAGTCTGTCCCCCGACCTCTGCTGAAGGCTGGGGGGGGGGAACAAGGGCTTTTTTCCCACTGCCAGCCTTCAGAAGGCTGTTCTGAAGGCTGGCGGTGGGAAAAAAAGCCCTTCTTCCCACCTCCCGCCCCGCAAGCTCCGGGGACAGGAGGGCTTTGCTGCCGACCGCCAGCATTTTAAAAGCCCCTGCTGTCCCGGGGCAATTTTAAAATGCTGGCGGGCGGGAGCGAAGTCTCTGCTGTCCCGGGGAGATTTTAAAATGCTGGGGGGCGGGAGCGAACGCTTCGCTCCCGCCCGCCAACATTTTAAGATCGCCCGGGGCAGCAGAGACTTCTCGCCCAAAGCAAGGGGAGCTCTCCGAAGGGCTCCCCGTGCTTCGGGCGACAGGCTGCCGCCCCAAGCCTCGCGCACCCGGCGGGACCTCCTGCCGGGTGCGCAAGGCTTGCAGACACTCGCCCGAAGCAGGGGAAGCCCTCCGGAGGGCTCCCCGTGCTTCGGGTGACAGGCTGCCGCCCCAAGCCTCGCGCAGGGGAAGCCCGAAGCAGGGGAAGCCCTCCGGAGGGCTCCCCGTGCTTCGGGCGACAGGCTGCCGCCCCAAGCCTCGCGCACCCGGCGGGACCTCCTGCCGGGCACGCAAGGCTTGCAGACACTCGCCCGAAGCAGGGGAAGCCCTCCGGAGGGCTCCCCGTGCTTCAGGCGACAGGCTGCCGCCCCAAGCCTCGCGCACCCGGTGGGACCTCCTGCCGGGTGCGCGAGGCTTGCAGACACTCGCCCAAAGATTTTAAAATGCTGGGGGTCGGGAGCGAAGCGTTCGCTCCCGCCCGCCAGCATTTTAAGATCGCCCGGGGCAGCGGAGAAGTCTCCGCTGTCCCGGGAAGGCAGGCGGGGGGGGGAGCAAAGACTTTTGTCCCCCGCCGGCCTTCAGAAGAGGTCCAGGACCTCTTCTGAAGGCCGGCTGTGGGCGAAAGTCTTTGCTCCCGACCGCCAGCAATTTAAAACAGGTCCCCGGAGATTTCCCTATGGGCTTTCTTCTTGCGAAGCAAGCCCATAGGGAAATTCGTCTTGCGAAGCGCCTCCAAAACAGAAAACCCTTTCGTCTTGCGGGTTTTCCGTCTTGCGAGGCATTCGTCTTGCGGGGTACCACTGTACTCAGAAGAAACTTAGTTGGTCTCTAAGGTGCCGACAAAGGTCCGTATAGTTAAAGCTATGGTTTTCCCAGTAGTGATGTATGGAAGTGAGAGCTGGACCATAAAGAAGGCTGATCACCGAAGAATTGATGCTTTTGAATTCTGGTGCTGGAGGAGACTCTTGAGAGTCTCATGAACTGCAAGAAGATCAAACCTCTCCATTCTGAAGGAAATCAGCCCTGAGTGCTCACTGGAAGGACAACACGGCTACCTACATTACTTTACATAGATAAATATTTTAATCAAGTGTAGGGCAAGAAGTCCAGGGCTTCTTAAGAAATGGCAGGACTTTGGAGAAATCATGAAGCCAGCATGAGACTTGACGGTGGCCATCCTTTATAGGTGTCAAAGCCCCCATCTGGACCCACACATAGCCTCATTCACACATGACAGTAAACCCAAGGGCAGGCTTGTGGGACCAGGAATGTGCGCATCCTTCGGGAGAGCAGCTCACAGCCACTTCGCTCTTCCCCAGCCCATTTTACTCTTGCGTTGTTGCACCGAGCTAAGCCAAGCTTGGAGTTGGTGCGTCATCCAGAGCCAGGCTTCTGTTAAAGCTCACTCTCTGTGCCCAACCTGCTTCCTGCAAATGCTTCCCCAGCTCACTATCTGTGTTAATGCAATCACCACCGCAATTATCACTAATCTGCTGCTGTAAAAAATGTGTGCCTATTTAACGTGCGTTTATGCTCTCGTTCGCACCAGCTGCAATCTTTTTGCATCAAGCTGCCATGCAACTCCCACCTGGCAGTTTCTCCTTAAATCCACTTGCCAACGGAGTCATCACTCATGCAACTTACAAGGCAGGCCCAAGTCTATAAAATCTTATACTGTAATATATATTTTAGTGCCCTAAAGCTGTCACAAGACCTTTTTTAAATAATAATAATAAAAATAAATAAATAAGTAATTAAAAAATTATTATTATTATTATTATTATTATTATTATTATTATTATTATTATTATCATTAATTATATCTATATCCCACCCTCCCCAGCCGAAGCCGGGCTCAGAGCGGCTAACAACAGTAAAATGATACAACTTTCTAAAATCATTTC